CTTTTTTTTTTTTTTTTTTTTTTGGTTAATTTAAAATACTTTAATCTAGTTCTCTTTTTAATACTTGTGGCACGTATATCTGCCCTAATTACTAATTCACTCAGATAACTAGGTTGTTAATACCAGAGGAAACAGATCTGAATGTTGTCCTGATAAAATACATTTCTAATATGTGACTGGATAGATCTCAGTTGATAGCATACCATGAGTGTAGGCCATTTAAAGAAACAGTAATGCTTTCTGCTGACTTTGCAGATGGTATGCCCTAAAATTTCTACTATGAGTTGTGTTGTCTGCTAATAGGATTTTGAGCTCCAGCAATTAGGAAAGTTAGTCTTTTTTTTTTTTTTAGACCAATTCCATACTAAAAGTCAGCATTTATCAATGTTCCCTGTATGCTGGTACTCTGCAAAGGCTTATCAAGAGGAAAGTGAGTTGATCCTCCTTGTGTGAATCCTGAGAGTTAATATTGTTGCTGTCTTTGTTTTACCCATAAAGCAAGAAATTTGGATTGAGGGGACCAAGGTCCTCTTGTGAGGAACCAGACATGACCCTAACCATTGTGCTGCATTGTGTCTCAGATATGTATTATTGCATGCTCATGGGCTAGGGAAGTGTTCAAACAGAGACTGTTGGGTTTAATGCATAGTTTATAGAATGTCATGGCCATTATACCATTTTAAAGCAGGTACAGGCGCCTGTAATACCAAGCTGTGGTTTCCATGCACTGGGGCACAGCACTCACTTACAGAAAAGTCTTAAATATGTCTTTGATTTTTAGATTGAGTGAAGTAGTCTTTTATGAAGACTTTAAGAAGGTCATTTTAGGAGAGAGAAAGATAGTTCTACAGTTCAGAGCACTTGCTGCTATTGCACAGGACCCAGGTTTGATTCCCAGCACCCATGTGTCAGCTTACCACAGTCTGTAACTCTAGTCCCAAGTTGATTCAATGCCATCTTCTGACCCTGTAGACAGTGCATGTAATGGTGCTCAGACAAAACACCCATATGTGTATTTTTTTTCCTTTTAAAGGGTAATGTTAAGTCTCCTTGGCAGGGAGGGCTGACGTCCTAGACAGGCAGGTTGCTTAGGCAGTTCTTTGTCTGTGGTAGTGTGTCGCCTGCTCTGTGCAGATCAGTACATGAAGTGGTCAGCAGGCAGAACAATAGCCCTGTACTCCAGACAGGCTACCACCAATAGAACGGAAAGGCTGAATGAAGGTGTGCTTTCAGTGATCTCTGTAAGTGGAACAGGTTCATTAGATGTTAGAAGGCGATCTTTTGAAATGACTACACTCCTGTGCCTTTGACTCAGGGTGGCGGATGTAAACATTCTCGACATGGATGGTGTAGCATAATCTAAGCTTAGATATTAAACTGCTTCTTCGTGTATATTTGTCAACTTACATATGTTTAACACGTTTTCATAGGTTAAAGAAATGGAAGGAATTCTGAAGAGAAGGTACCCCAACTCTTTACCTGCTTTGATACTGGCTGCCTCGGCCGCTGGTGATTCAGTAGACAGAAATACAGTGGAGTTTATGGAAAGAAGGATAAAAAAGTTAGAAGCTGACCTGGAGGGCAAAGACGAAGAAGCCAAGAAAAGCCTCCGCACCATGGAACAGCAGTTTCAGAAGATGAAGGTAGGTGCAGGGTAGCGGAGATGGATCAGGGGAGCAGGTCATTCCCAGCCCCCACTTGAACCAACAGCTCCGAGCATCCTTGCCCACCAGTGTGGTTCCACAGAAAAGAAATCTCGGTCCATCGTGTCTTCTTGAGCTCTGTCAGCAACTCCTTTCTATTACAGACAGAATAATCAAGCATAAGATATCCTTTTTTTAATTAATTGTTTTATTTATTTTATATCCAGGCCACAGTTTTCCTTCTCCTCCTAGTCCCTCCCTGCCACCCCCAGCCCTGTCTCCACCCCCCAATCCACCCCTTGAGTTCTGTTTAGGAAGGGGCAGGTCTCCTCCCATGGATATCAACAAAACATGGCATATCTAGTTGCAGTAAGACTAAGCACCTCCCCTTGTATTAAGGGTGAGCAAGGTAACCCAGTATGAGGAGTAGAGTCCCAAAAGCCAGTAAAAGAGTAGGAGACTACTCCTGTTCCCACTGTTAGGAGTCCCACGAGAGGACCAAGCTACACAACTGTAACATATATGCAGAGGGCCTAGGTCAGTACCATGCAGGCTCCCATTGGTTCAGTCTCTGTGAGCCGCTATGAGCCCAGGTTAGTTGATTCTGTGAGTTTTCTTGTGGTGTCCTTGACCCCTCTGCCTTCTACAATTCTTTCTCCCCCTCTTCCCTGAACTCCATGTAATGTTTGACAGTGGGTCTCTGCATCTATTTCCATCAGTTGCTGGATGAAGCCTCTCTGATGACAATTGGACTAGGCACCAATCTGGTCATAGGAGATGGCTAATTCAGGCTTGCGTATCTGCTATTGCTTTGAGTCTTATCTGGGGTCAACCTTGTAGATTCCTAGGAGATTCCCTTGCCTTAGGTTTTTACCTGACCCTGAAATGCCCACCACTTTTCAGTATCTTTCAGTACTCTCTCCCTCTGTCCCCTCCCCGCAACCTAATCACTCATGTTCTCATCCCCACCCTCCCTCAGTCCACTCACAAAATCTCTTCCATTTCCTATCCCCAGGGAGATCCAGGCATCCCCCCATGAACCCTCCTTGTTACCTTGTCTCTCTGGGTCTGTGGATTGTAGCCTGGTTATCCTTTATTTTACAGCTAATATCCACTTATGAGTGAGTACATGCCATGTTTGTTACCTCACTCAGGATGACTTTTTTCTAGTTTCAAACAGCTGAGTAATATTCCATTGTATTAATGTACCACATTTTCTTTATCCATTCCTTGGTTGAGGGACATCTAGGTTGTTTCCTATATCCATGGCAACTTAATTACAAATAAAGTTGCCATGGATATAGTTGAGCAGGTGTCCTTGTGATATGACTGAGCATCCTTTGGGTATATGCCCAAGAGTGGTATAGCTGGTTGGAACTAGAAAACTAGAAAAAAGTCATCCTGAGTGAGGATGGTAGATTGATTCCCAGTTTTCTGAGAAACTGCCGCACTGATTTCCAAAGTGGCAGTACAAGTTTGCACTCTTACCAGCAATGGAGGAGTGTTCCCCTTGCTCCACATCCTCTCAAGCATGAGCTGTAGCTTGTGTTTTTGATCTTAGCCATTCTGACAGGTATAAGATGGGATCTTGGAGTCATTTTGATTTGCAATTCTCTGATGGCTAAGGGTGTTAAACATCTTAAGTATTTATCGGCCATTTGCTATTCTTCTGTTGAGAATTCTCTGTTTAGATCTGTACTCCATTTTAAAATTGGATTATTTGGTTTGTTGATGTCTGGTTTCTTGAGTTCTTTATATATTTGGAAAATCAGCCCCCTGTCAGATATGGGGTTGGTGAAGATCTTTTCTCCTTCTGTAGGCTGCCATTTTGTCATATTTACAGTATCCTTTGCCTTACAGAAACTTTTCAATTTCATGAGGTCGCATTTCTTAATTGTCAATCTTAGTGCCTGTGCTATCAGTATTCTGTTCAGGAAGTGGTCTCCTGTGCCAGTGTGTTCAAGGCTATTATTACTCACTTTCTCTTCTATTAGGTTTAGTGTGGATTTATGTTGAGGTCTTTGATCCACTTGGACTTGGAGTTTTGTGCAGGGTGATAGATATGGGTCTATTTGCATTCTTCTACATGTTGACATCCAATTAGACCAGCACCATTTGTTGAAGATGCTTTATTTTTCCCATTGTATAATTTGGCTTCTTTGTCAAAAATCAGGTGTCCATGAGTGTGTGGCTTTACATCTGGGTCTTCAGTTCAATTCCATTAATCCACCTGTCTGTTTTTATGGCAATACCATGTAGTTTTTATTACTATAGCTCTGTAGTAAAGCTTGAAGTCAGGGATGGTGATACCTCCAGAAGTTCTTCTATTGTACAGGATTGTTTTAGCTATCCTGGGGTTTTTGTTTTTCCACATGAAATTGAGTATTGTTCTTTCAAGGTCTGTAAAGAATTGTGTTGAGATTTTACTGCGGATTGCATTGAATCTGTAGGTTGCTTTTGGTAAGATAGCCATGTTTATTATGTTAATCCTACTGATCCATGAGCATAGGAAATCTTTCCATTTTCTATCTTCTTCAGTATCTTTCTTCTAAGACTTAAAGTTCTGCACAAGATATCCTCACACACCCCTGTCAGTATTAGAGTCAGAGGAAATAAGTCAGGAAAAAAAGATTAAAACACCTCTGCTGTGTGTTCAGAAGCAAAGGGGAGAAGACACTGCCGTTGTGGAAATGTTTCCACTGAAGTTCATCTAGTCGTGGGTGTGGGTAAAGAGATGAGGCAGAGGCACCCACCTCGGAGGTGGGATGGGTCACTGAAGAGCATCCTTCCCCGGGAATTTAATTCCTGGATTTTCTATTCTTCTGTGGCACAGAAGTAAATCAAAACCTAAGTGCCAAAACAGACCAGGAATGAAACAGGTCGTGGCTAAGGCAGGTTTTCTACAAGTTCCGCTTTGTGAGAGTGCTGGCCCCCAGGGCTGTGGGGGCTTTGTGAGAGTGCCGCCCCCCAGGGCTGTGGGGTTCCGTCTTTAAAGGCTTTTAGTGCTGCTTTGCAAGCCTGTTGCATCCGGCTCTGATTAGTTCCTTCTTGATTTTTGGAAGTGTTCACTCCAGCTCCCTCAGGCTCCTCTTGCCCCAGCTGCACATCTCATATGCACATACCACCACCATCCCTCGTTAAGTGGTAGTTCTGGGGATAGACACAGGGCTTTGTATGTACTAGTCTGGTGCTCTACCCACTGAACTACAGCCCAGCCCCATGCACATGCATGTTTGTTGATACCCCGTGAACAATTTCTGTGTGATCACATCAGATACCCAGACTAGATACTTCATAACTATTTTAATCAATTAGCCACTAATTAAAATACTAGGAGGATCAAGTGTCATCTTACCACATGTACCTAGATACATACCTACTACCACACAAACATTCAACTAAATGATTATAATTATTGTGAACAGTTCACTGAACAAATCGGGACTCTCAAGTATGAACTCTAACCTACTACCCTGTTTCTGTGTATATAAACCTACCTACACTAATTTTCCTCCTCTTGCAATCCCCTACCCCCATTCCACTCCTGCCCTTCTTCCTTTCATTTCTGATTTTCAGTAGACACTGACATTCAACATATCCCGCTTCTGCTCCTGGGTAGCTCTGTATCTTCTTACCCCATGTTTACTCAGTCTTCAAGACCAAATGTAAATGTGACATCTCCATGCAGTCTCCGCACCTTCCTCGGTCTCCCGGTAGTCAGCGCGCCTCCGCCACTGTACTGTGTAGCTTTGCTCCAAGTGTCATAAGACTCGGCAGCTGTGTATTGCTTCCCTCCCCCAGACCACTATCTTTTGGAAATCACAGCTGAAGGTCATTAGAACCAAGCACGGTGCCTGGTATAAAGTTGTAGCTCGGTAAATACTCATAAATGAGCAAACATTGGTACCTGACTCCAAATAGAATAAACTGATTGTTCTTTATATTTCACGTTGCACTAAAGGTGCAGTATAAAAATTCTAAGCTGTTGCACTCCCTGTTTTGAAAAGGTATTGTTCTCAGGAGGTAGAAGCAAGAAGATGGATCACAGGTTCAAGGCCAGCAAGACCCTCTCTCAAAAAACAAAACAAATGGAAAACGTACTATTTCTCAGACACTTCAGTACCTCCAGTTGCTTTACACGTTTATACTCTGGGTATGACAGCTTGCATGGAGAAGCAGCATCACAGGCTAACATTAATTGAATTAGTTAACAGCATAAAGTACCAATACTATCTATCGCTTTTGTAAGCCTCAACTATTTTTTTCTTTTTGAGACAGGGCCTCAGGTATCTCAGGCTGGCCTTGAGCTCACTGTAACCCCAACAGATCTTAGACTCCTGACCCTCCTACCTCCTACCTTTTCAAGTTCCAGGGTTGCAGGCCAGTGCCGCTATGCACTGCTCTTAACCTTACTTTAAAATGCTAAGCACCTGAGGGCTGCATAGGCCCAGGTGTTATCTAATATATATGAATCGGTTTTTTTTTTTTTTTTTTGGTTTTTCGAGACAGGGTTTCTCTTGTGTAGCTTTGCGCCTTTCCTGGAACTCACTTGGTAGCCCAGGCTGGCCTCG